GGAAAAAACCCTCATCTTTCTTTGTACTGAGGCCTGGCTTCAGTATCCCTTGGGTGACCAAGAGAAGTGGCTTTCAGAGGGTTCCTTAAGTTATAATACCATACTCCAATTAGACGTTTTCTATAAAAGGAGGAAAAGTAGACAGAGGTCCCCTATATACAGATTTTCTTTTATCTCCAAGACCATCCACAATTGCCATCTAGATACTCAAACACTGGCCATTCTTTGTAAGCCACAGGATAAACATGGGGAAGGAGGACCAAAAAAAACCCCTTTCCAATGACAAGACCCCTGTCACTACTGCTCCTCCCTCTGCCCTACCTTCTAAGCCACCCGAATATTCAGAACCTCCTAAGGATATTTTCTTCTTCAACAGGCAGTGGTCAGAAGAGGGCGAGTCTATGTCCCCTTCCAGTTATCAGATCTGAGGGAGATTAAAAAAGATCTGCATAGCTAGACTGATCCCCAGACCAATACATCCAAGTCTTTATCTCTGTGGTCCAAACCTTTGAATTGGCATGGAAGGACATTATGCTTCTAATAGACCAGACTCTTTCCTCATTAGAAAAGCATGGGTTCTGGCCCAGGCCACACAGGTTGGAGACAATTTCCATCTACAATGAGCCCCAAAACCCATGGCACCTGAAAATGAGGGAATAAATGTGCCTATACCCACAGCGGCACAGGCAGTCCCCTTGGCAGATCCACATTGGAATCAAGATGGTGAGAAGGATTAATGGCGTCGACACCACTTCATCCATCTTATAGTGGAAGGGCTAAAAAGGGCCAAAGTCAAACCTGCCAGGTGACTGTAGTACCACAGGCCCTGATGAAAACCCCCTTACCCTTCTACAGCGTCTTAAGGACGCTATCAGAAAGCATACCACAGTGGACCCAGAGTCACAGGTGAGAGAGGTTCTCCTCAAAGATACATTTCTAACTCAGTCAGCCCAGATATCTGTAGAAAACTCCAAATGTCTGTGACTGAAGCGGAAAAATCATTGGACCAACTAATGCAGCCAGCCATGTCTGTATACTATGACTGGGACCTCACTAAAAGAAAGAAAAGGATAAAGACACCATTACCTAATCACAGCTGTCAGGTCCCTACATCCCAAGCTTGCTACCATTGTGGACAGGAGGGGCACTTCCACAGGGAATGCCCAAAAGGGGACAGCCCAGCAGACAGCCCTGCCCCCCAATGGGACCTTGCCCTCTCTGCAAAGGTGACCAATGAGGTCTCCAGATGGAAGGCAGGGTGCCACCTCCTATGGATTGATGGGTGCCGGGGCCTCCTGTCCAGGCTCCACTTCTTAGCATCGATGTTGAGGAGCCTCAGGTAACCATATGGTAGAGAAGTGAAAGGTCATTTTCCTGCTAGACAGTGGAGCCTGTTTCTCTATCTTACCTTCCTCTCCTGGTCCCTGGTCCAATGACAAGGTTATCATTTGGGGCATATCTGGCCAGCACCTAGAGTGCTATTTTACTCAGCTCTGGCCTGCTCTTGGGGAGACCTTCACTTCTGTCACTCTTTGCTCATAGTCCCCGAGACTCCAGTGCCCCTGCTGGGACAGGATTTACTATCTCACTAAAAGCTCAAATTCTCCTCCCCCCAGGTGACTATCTCTGTTGCCCTTTTCTTCAGGAACAAGTAGATCCCACAGGGTGGACTGATGGAATGACTGACTGTAGGGTGAGCCAGAACAGCACCCCCAAGTCAAATAAAACTCAAAGATCCCTCACAATTTCCACATCAAAAATAGTATCCCCTCAAGCCTGAGGGATGAAGAGGCCTCTTACCAATCATAAATTCCTTAAAAACAAGGGCTACTAACTGGTTGCTCCAGCCTCTACAATCCCCTATTCTTGCTGTCCACAAGGAGCCAAACAAATGGAGGTTGGTTCAAGACCTCTGGCTCACTGATGAGAGAGCCATTCCCATTTTTTCAATTGTTCCCAATCCCTATACTCTGTTGGCTCAGATACCCTCAAAAGCCCAATATTACTCTGTACTAGATTTAAAGGACGCTTTCTTTTGCATTCTTCTGCATCCTGACAGTCAGCCTCTGTTTGCCTTTGAAGACCTCACTAACACTTCACAGCAACTGACTTGGACAGTTTTGCCACAAGGGTTTAGAGACAGCCCTCATCTTTGTGGACAGGCCCTAACCAGAGACTTATTAGGTTGGCACTACCCAGAGGCCACCCTTCTTCAATATGCTAATGATTTACTTCTGTACGGAACCACAGAGTCCCTCATCTCCAGGGTGACTGAGTCCCTTTTAAACTTTCTGGCCTCATGGGATATAAAGTCTCTAAGGAAAAGGCTCAATTATGCCTCCCACAGGTCACCTACCTAGGTGTGGTCTTAAAGGGACAGACTCGCTCCCTGAGTCATGAGTGGATCAACCCAATCCTCCATTTCCCATTCCCCAAGACCATAAAGCAGCTTAGAACTTTCTTGGGAGTTACAGAGTTTTACAGAATCTGGATCCCTAGATATGCAGCCCTTGCCAGATCCCTTTTTTATGCTCCTTCAAATACTCCTATTTGGGCCTTATATAATAAATGCTCTCTCCAGATTCACAGCTCTACAGGTCCAATGGATGAAACTCCAGCTCTTAGTCAAGGAATACTCACCTCTGCCTATGCATGAGCTCTCTATCCCGTTCTATCGGGGGCCCCTGGAGACTACATGGGTCAACCCCTGAGACAAGTACCACCACTTCTATCCCCCGTTGTCCCATTGTCAGCAAAAAGCAGCTAGATGAGTCATCACCCTCTCCCCAACAGCATTTGGGTACTTGTCTCTGAGGGGGGACTTGTTGGGTCTGGAGACCTAAAGGGCAGATGAGTGAGCATCCCATCCCCCATGGAGAGCACTATGATCCCTGCATCCTGAGGAGGTGTAAATCTGCATTTCTGCATCCTGAAGAGGAGATGCAGGGTCTGACAGATCTGCCACAGGGCTGATGAGCAGAATGCTCTCAAGATTGTTCTCCCTCCCCCAATAAGGGGCAAACAAACCAGTTCATCCAAGAAGCCTATGAATCCACAGCCAATGAAAAGAGCCCTCCTAACCCAGAGTTAAAACGTCCACAAAAGCCCCAGCCTTCACCTGAGCAGCGAGCTACTGGTTTCTGGGCTCTGCTGCACTGCTCTAGCTGTAGCCTTTCCTTT